ATCAATTAATTAGATATTGAGATTTATTGTAAGTTAATACAATTATGGCACAAGGCCAAAAAGGGGGAATGGGTTAAGGCTGGTCTTCACTAACTATCTTATACCTAGCTGATCGGATTCACGACACATTCACTCGTTACAATTTCCTCATTCACCATAAAAACTCATCTGTTGCCAATCAATCCTCCAAACACCATAATACCACATCCTCTCCGGGGTTGGGGTGCTAAAGTGCACCCCAAGAAGTCAGTAAAGCCACTAACACGCAAGGGGTTAGCTCAAATAAAGATTAGAACTGATAGAAAGCAGGTAGTATTGGCAGATCTCAGCGAAAGATGGGTAACTATGACGAGCCTGGTTCGCGTGAACGGAGCTAGTATAGTATTACATGTGTTGGGTTGAATCGCGATGAATGCGTTCTTGGGGTATATGTGTAAACTGTAATGGATGAATGGATCATGAATCAAGTTAGCTAGGTGTAGGATAGTCAGTGACGACCTTCCATTCCCCACGCCACCTTTTGACCTTGTGTTACATGAGACGAAACATTTCAATTCGATGATAACGTCACAGGGTTCTCCATACTTGCGGTTTTGTGACATATTTAATCGACATCTGATTAAAAATACTGGAAGTTTTGGTGTTTTCTGAAAGCAAATATGGTCCTAACGTTTGTGACGTAATCAGTTAATGTAGATATATTTTGCGCCAATGCAAAAAAAAATTAGGTATCTCCACTTTTTGCGGAAAAACTTCATAGCATGATGAATCAAGGCCCCAAACTCAATAAAAACAAAGTTTTATCGTCAAAATGCTTATGTTATTAAGAGAAAAGATCAAAGTATTTTTTGATTATTCATCGAAACTTTTAATCCTCTCTGTCGTTGGAAATTTTGGTTAAAAATCTCGTTTTGTTTACCTCAGCAATCGGCGTAATAATTACGATTAATTATATGCGCTTTTTTACGGTGAAAAGCAGATTTGGAAATGATTGAAAAAATCAAATATTTGTCTGATTTTAATGAAACTTTGAAGACATACTCACAAACCAATTAAGTTATTTTTGAAATTTTTTTAGAAAATCTTGGTAAAAAGTATTTTCTTTTTTATATATTATTTACTTAATTTCACGAAATATCGAGAGATTCAATTATTAGGGCTGGGATTTTTATTAGTTAAAAGCAGGACTCCCTGGAAAATGTAAATCAATTTTTTTTTTTTTTTTTTTTTTTTGTAAAACCCACTCATCGAAAATCTACTTTAATTAATTTTATAAATAAGATTTATTAAATACATTATTGTCTTAAGAATTTTTTTTTCGATGAATATTTAGTTTTTACAAGAATCGTTTTCATTTTTTTTAAATTAATTAAACAATTCAAATCACTAAAATGTCTCATTGCTTTAAGACAGTTAAGAAATATTACTCGTAAGTGAAAACTAAATTTACAAATCGTAAACTGAAAAGCTCATTAAAAGTCATTTGAATCTAATATTTTTAAAAGAATTTTGTTTTTTATGTGTACGTAACGTATACGTGTTTGAAATTATGATTGGCCATACACGATAGAATCAGAAGATAAGAGCGACGACTATAGTAAATTTAAATTCAAAGTTCCTAAAATTAAATTATGAAGAACACAGACAATCGTTCACCGGTCATTTTCTTAAATTATATTTAGATAGGTTCACTTTAGAATAATAAAAGTATGATCACCTCGTCAAATGATTTGCTTAATCGCGCCACTGTTTTAAAATTCCATTTCTCTATTTTAAAATTTAAGTAAATAATATTTTTTTCAAATCAGTTTAATTAAACTTTAAATCAGCTAATATTTTTCAAATAAAGTTTCAGAAAATGTATTTCATTTTTGTAAGAATTTCAAAACAGAGAATTAAATAAAAATTAAAATTTGTTTACAGTTCTCTCAAAAATGACTGAATTTAAACGATTTCTGAAAGCGAGCAAAAAGTTGAGATTCCAATCAATATAATTTCTATTTGAAATACACCAGAGTATTTTGCTTACTGGAAATAGTAAATGGAATCATTTAGCTTTCAATTAAAGCTAAAAAGAAAACTTCAAGAATGCGTTTTCATTTTTAAAAATTAATTTTATAACTTAAGTATCGAAAATTGTAGCGAAAAAGTGGAGGTACCTAAAAATATAGGTTTGAATAATTCGAAATCCAAATGTGAATTGGAAGACTGAAAAACCATGGCACAATTAAGTTCAAGGACAGTGTCTAAATTTTTTTCCCGAAACTTGTGTTGGTTACGCAAAATTTGATTTGTTGGTCATTTCGCTATTAATATGTATTGTTATTCGTTTTGCTATAAATATACATTGTTAGTCATTTTACTATAAATGCATTCCTGCGGATTTATTTTTTTAAATGTATTGCTGGAAATTTTAGATAAAAATGCATTTGTATGCTTTCATAGTATTTTGTATTTGATTTGGTGTTCACTGTTTGGGCATAGTTGGCACACTAACAAA